TTTGGCTGCTAGAGCCTTGGTGGCTGATGAGCTTAAGGATTCTTTGATGATTTATGTCAGGTTCGTTCAGAGGAAATTCTTCACTGAATTAATTAATTGCCTCAACGGAGACAAACCATATGAGGATTCCTTAAACAGGCTCACACCATTTTTGGACAAGGACGAAGCTTTCAGGGAGGGTTGTAGATTGAAGTATTCCACAATTGATGAAAAAAGTAAGCGCCCGCTGCTGATATCTAAAAATCCACATTTAGCAGTTCTTTTGAGTGACCATTACCACAGGTATTCCTTGCATGGTGGGCCACTGTTGGTCCAGTAGCTCATTCATTGCTAATTTTGGATTCCTTCTCTGAAGAGAAGACGGATTTATAAATGCGTTACAAGCTCCAAAAATGAGTGACTTTTAGTCTTTCAGGATGACCGAGGGTCGATCCTTTCAGCGAGTTGGAATATACTATGGCGGTCCCTTCATTATGAAGATTCCCAATAAGTGCAATGCTCCTAAGTCGAAATGTTGATTAGCCCTCTATCCATCTAGAACTTGTGACGTACCTATCCACTCCTTCATTTATTGCCACTTTTAACAGATTTATTGCCAGACGTGGTTTGCCTTCGCATATTTATAGTGACTGCGGAACAAATTTCCAAGCATCCAAGAAGTTGAAGGAGCGTTATTGATTTGTTAAGGACCTGAGCGAACCCATTTCTAACTATTTAAATCGAATGGATACAAAGTGGACTTTACTCCTCCAGCATCTCCTCATTTTGGTGGTATTTGGGATGCATCTATTAAATCCGCTAAGAGACACCTTCTTGCGGTTCTCTAGGATCATGAGTTGACATATGAGGAATTTTATACATTTCTGGTACGTGTTGAAGCCGTTCTCAACAACAGTCCTTTCTGTAATATTAGCAGTCAGCCTTCCGATAAACCTTGATTACCTCACCCTATGACACTTTCTTATAGGGTTGTGGTCTGGTGCCTCGCAACAAGTGGTATACTGATAGGGAAATTTAAAAGAATGAACCCTTGTTATTCTACATGAAGAAGATGTTACACTGCAGGAGTGGCGGCTTGCCAGGACAATTGAGACACTTCCAGGACCTTGCGGCGTAGTTAGGGTGGTAAGATTGAGGACTGATACAGCCACTTTGGTGCGATCGGTGCACAAGTTAGTGCCTCTTCCTTCTGGAGAAACCTTTCATTGAGATGTACATTTTTTTCTTTGCTTCTTTGTGGAGCCATTTTATTTTAAATAAATTGTAATTTCTTAGCCTATCTTTGATCTGGCTCACTTTATTTCTAATTTTCCAAAAATATATTTTGCATAATTTCTCTCTTTCTTTGTTGTAAACCAAGCAATTTTCCTCTCGTTTGTGCCTTGCCTAGTAATTACCAACCTATGAGTTTGCTTTTTCTTTTGTTTGAGAAATGAGATATTTCACGGTAGGGGATATATGTTTTGTGTGAGAGCTATTATGCCCGATTGTCGCGTTGTGGCGAGTGGTGGGGGCAGATCAGATAAGATATAAAAGATATAATTTAATCCGCACCAGCTACCAGATGCTCTCGCCCATTCCATCACAGATCTTCCCGGAGGTATCAACTGTGAAAGACTGGAGGACCCTCTCAATTAAGTAAGATGTCTATGCTAGCATAAAAGGGTGAGTCTATTTTACACAATTCATATAACCTACCACTTCATCAAAATACAGTCCACTGCCAAAATAAGTCAAATGTTGCCTATGTTGAACACATTAGAGTTATTTGCCTTTATTTTAATTAAATTTTGAAACTTGCCTAAACAACCTCCGTTAACTTGTTGAGGTTTATATCATGGTCAGGTATATCAATGCCACAAATAATATTATAAAGATAAGCATTTACACTTATGAGATACTCTTCAGCTATGATCTGGTCCATCATGCGCTGGAAACAGGCTACCCCATTGGTCACACCAAATGGTATCCCTGTGAATTGATATAGCTTACCCTTCGCTTCAAGAGCATATTATATCTTTTTTTTTTTTTTTTTGCTAATAACATTGTTGGGAAATGAAAACGAAGGTTTCACCCATATAATAGATTTTTATTAGAAAAAAAAACCATTACCTTGCAGAGTGTGATGGTTAACAGCGTTATGAAAAGTTTAACGGTGTTATGAGGAAACCACGCTCCGATCAGGAACGCAACCTTTCTCAGACAAGACTTACCAAAATGAGTTTTCCAGGTGAAGTTTTCATCAATGGTAATCCCTAAGTTTTTTACAGAAGAGCTGAATATGATTATTAATAACTGAAGGAGGAAGGGAGGCTATGGGTCGAAGTAGGGAGTTGGAACCTGTGACAATAGCTCGAGTTTTCGTCGCCTTTAGCCTTGAGTTATTCAAGCTTGCCCAGGCACTGGTCCAATCTAGGTCTTCAGCATTAAGAGGAAAAATGCTAGAATCTTGACTAATCCAGAGGACAGGGTAAGGAAGGAAGATAAGGGTTGAATCGGAATACTAAGAGCTTGACTTCGATCGAAACACTTCAGAAAGAAGATTTGCAAAGATATAGTTTTCGAATTAGAAGCCATATTGATTTAGAATCGAGAGCAGGGAAGATTTCATGAAAGTAATTGGATTTTACTTGCGTAATCGTTTGAGTCAAGTTGCGGAGTACCCTAAACGCTTGATAGTAATCTCCTAGCTTAGTCTGAATAAAGTGTCTACGGATCAACGAGCAGATTGGCGGCAGAATGTAAAGGTTTTAAGGATACGGATAAAAGTTAGGATATCTACCATAGGATCCATAGTGGAGCAGGTATAGATTTCATTCCAATCCAAGGTTTCAATTTCAATTGCGGAAGGTAAACATTTTAGGAAGATCACAGGAGTTTGGATATGGTATGAGGTCATAAAAAGAGAGGAAAAGGACAGATAATTGAAAGGACAAAAGGTTCTGCACAGAATCGATGACATGCAGGTTCAGCAATGTTATGAAACAGAAAGTATGATGAGTAGAAGTAAATGAGAGAAAAAAAAATATTAAGGGAGAAAAGGTTTTCCAAATAGTTTGTCATTGGAATCAGAAAAGAGATTAGCATTAAAATCTCTGGACAACATTATGTTATTGTAAAATGGAATATATTTGTACAGGGTTGATTCAAAGGATGGGTCGAAAGGAACCAAAGATGTACAACGTAAAGAAAAGGATGAGCTTTAATTTCAACAAAGAGGAATTTAATATGATAATAATTTTGGTGTATTGGTCAGCAAATAAATGGCAATATGAAAATAGGTAAATGTAATGTATTACAAGAAGAAGTAATTAATTTTATTATTCTTGGTCGATTACTATGGTTAATTTAAAAAAATAAACCAAACATATGTACAATTTTTAATTGGCTGTATGTTTGCTAAAAACAGTCCGACTTCGATTATATTTGTTGGGAATTTGAAAACCTTTTCCATGAGTATAAATTGTATGCTCCTTGAGTTATGCATAAATAAAGTCTCATTTTCTTCATAAGTTTTTTTCTATCTTTTCAGGGAATGTGCCTATCATAACTGAAGTAAAATCTATTTCCAAAATAACGGCTCAATCATCGGATTTTATGAAGAATTAAAAAATATAGTGCGCGACAAAAAAAAACCTATGAAAAATAATATGTAAAGAATAGTTCATTACAATATATTATATTTAATTAATATAATATAATTTATTAATAAAACAATATAGCATAACAACTTATTAAAAAATATTTAATAATTAGTATAATCAACATGTCCTATTACAGGAGATTAAGTAATAATATCCAATTTTGTAAATTAACAGTGGAGAAGTAAAAGTAATACGTTCAACAAAAATAAAATGAAGCATTGATAATTTTTATAATTTATCAATGTTAATTATTATACTAATATTAATTAACATTAATAATATTCTGTGTATTTTTTTTCAATAATATTAATATGCTGATTAAGATAATATAACAAAACAAACTTCTAAATTGTAATTACAAAAGTAAAACACAAAACAATTTAACACACTTTTTGACTGAAAATTTTTGGTACCCGAGGAAGCCTAGTCTCCAGGTCTCCTTGATTTCCCTACCTGGCCCTCTCTGACCAAAGTCTTGTCAGTCGATAACATCAGAGGATTCTGCATGCCAATAGTGCAACTGGAGTTATGGAAGCTTATGGAACAACTTAAGTTAATTTAATAACCACTGAATTAAAGTAAACAATATAATTACTGATCTTTACTTTTATAGTTTATTTTAATCTTTTCCAATAACATTCTGTAAAAAAATATATATAAATAACTTTTTTATATATATTTTTGAGCTAGTATACTTAGTGAGTTAGCAAATTTATGAAAATCGCTTCAAGAAAATTAAGGATCACTAGCAGCTGAAATACCACAAAACACTCATTATTTTTAAAATAATTTACTCACTCATAAATTAGCTTTCAGACAATATAAGACTAAAAACAAACCATAAAATACTCATCAAATTTACCATGGTAATCATAAAAATCCAATAGAAACTTTTGAATCACTAAAATTAATAAGAAAAATAATTATGCATTCTAGTGTTTAAAAGTGTTGTAAAAATTGAAATTTTGAAACAATTTTTTAATGAGCCATAAAACGATAAATATCAAACAATCCCAAATTTAACACTCTTTAGTTGAATAATTAAAAATATAGTGGATGGTTCAAATTTTGTAAATGGATAATATTCTATTATTTAAAAAATATGTTAACAGTAGTAGGCAATACATGGTCGAATTTCTGTGACAAAATAAATTTATGATTGGTTAATAATTAACTTGATTTATTTAATGTTTCAATGGATTAAGCATTGCGAATCATTCCTTATATACTTATGATCAAAATGAATGAATAGTGATAACTATTTGTAAACATATAAAACAAGCTTGTATCATCAATAAATAATAAATATTTATTCTTATTACAGAAGTATAAAAAATATTTAAATTGTAGAAACAATCACAGATAAATATCACAGACTATAAATATTATTTTTAAGAATATACAAATTCTCATATACAATACAAATAAATTCACAAAATATTAGCAAATGGATTGCTTAAAAAAAAATAAAGAGATATATACATGTCATAATAGTTTTAACCAAGAATCAATAATAATTCTAATGTAACAATGAAATATTCTTTAAAAAAAAAAGTTGGTATAATGAAAAGTTAGGAACATGTAACATTTTAATGGTCCCATGAGATCTTTTCAAATAAATAAATTCACTGTAATCACATAATAATTTATAACATCCGAAACATCTCGATTATTAATTGAAGTTAATTTGGGGACACAGATCAATGAATAGATTATTATCAGACAACATATCAACTAAATTATTAGGTGACCGAAAAGATTAATGATATAATGAAAAAATAAACATTCAAGCTAATTCATTACCACAGTAGAAGTAGTCTGGAAATAAGTTTTCCATACAATTTGATTCTTAAAGGAATAATCATCTATCCTTTTCTTATTTTACTAGGTGTTTTGTTTTTACCCGGAAAATGATAAGTGTCAAAATAAAAATATGCTCTACCAATAACCATGCTAGTATATGACAAAGTTCTTTCATAATTTTCACTGTTTAGTATTTAAAGAGTCAATTAGAGGAGGTTAACTTCACACATTTTCTATATTGATTAGTTTATCAAATTACTGAAAATAATAAAAGTTTAGCAACTCAGGTAGAGAGTAAACAAAATAATGTTAATAAATGCTGAATTTTTCATAAAATCTAATTTCAATCTTCATTTAACTTTAATTTCTGAAAGGGGATATAAAAGATTTATAGTTTACAATAAAAACATATTGCACCTCATGAAACAAATCGGAACAATTTGTGTAGGTAAATATACAACTGATTCTGAAAAGAAAGCTTCTGTTCAAGTTAAGAAATTACCAACATAAACATAATTCTGTACCTCTTACAAGGATTTTTTTTTACTCTTACATTTATAGATTCAAAAACATTCACATATCATACATTCTTATTTCTAGAATAACCTAGAACAAAAAATAACATCTGATTTAAATAAATCTATCGCACTTGATAGTGATACAATGTATCTTATCTTTTAAAGAACATTTTCATTAATAAAAAAAATCTGGTAGCAGCAATGTATAGTAATTTCTCTGAAATTACTATAATATTAGGAACCACAGTATAATAAGTTATATAATTAGAAAATTTCCTAAATAAATCGGCTTATTTCAACAAAAGCAACTATTACTTAATATTATTCTTAACTTATAAATTAATACTGAACATTCAAATGGTTACATAATCAGCATTCTACAACTACATAACAGCTAACCAAAAAAAATGAATGATTTTAAAAGTTTAAAATTCTATGGTTTAGATTCTTAATAAAAAGTAATGTAATAATTACTTTTAATAACAGAAATCATAGGAAATACAGAAGGATTACAATAAAATGAAAAGTCAATGTGGTACTTATCTAGGTAAAAACAATTTATCCATTTCCTTTGCTTTTCCAACAGAGCCATGAAAAAATAAAATGTTTTCTCCCTTACAAAAATGACAGCATATAGTTAACATTTTCATTTGGTTGGATCACAAACATAATAAGTGGATTTGGAAGAATAAGCAGTGTTGATGAAAGGCGGAAGGTAATATCTGGACCTGTTTATTTGCTTCTTATTACAAAAGAAATAGGTACTTCCAGGTATATTAGGACATGATTCCATGAAGCTATGCTGATCTGGAGAACAAGGGTCCAAGAAAACCACTGGAGACTATTTCCTTGCTCTGTGGTTTTATGCTGTTAAAGAAAATATTAAAGATATAGCTTAATCAAAATATTATTTAAAAAGTTACAGTATTTAAAAGTTTATACCTCACCCAATCAAATAGCTCAAAATCCCTATCTAGTATGTTCAATATTTGTATTTAAAACTAAGAAATAAAATCAGGTAATATCATAAGTACAGGTATCACATTAACTGTTGCTCCCTAACCCACTAACAATTAAATAATCAAAATTAAGTTGTATAATTTTTTTAAGATGGCTGTGTTTTAATTAAAATTCATATTTTCTACCAAGTTAATTTAATTTTAAGATAAATAAATGGTTGATAGTCAGAAATTATTTGAAACAACAAAAAATTAAAGTACGTTAAAAGAAATTACCATTTTCAAGGACAAAATAAAATGCAAATATATTTAATAAAATAAATAATAACAGTTGGAAAAAACAAAAACAATAATTTGATGTCCTAAAAGTTGGTACCTTGACTGCAAATGAAACAAATATTTATAGATGGCAGCAAGTATGCAAGAAAAAATATATATGAACTTAATACCTCATGATAAGAAATTCATCATATGACATGATTGATCAATAAACTGAAATAATGAGACTCAATGGATATCAAGATACAAAGATAAAGAATGATTATATAAAACATCTAAGGCCTAGTCCACAATGAAACATTTTTGTGGGTCTCTGTTCAGGGACATCCCTGCAGCAATGAATCATCCATCCACACAAAGGCTAGTTCTGTTCAAAATGACTCAGGAGTTAGCCCACACAGGTGCACGTTTCACTTTTAATTCTAAGTAAAAATTAGGACAAAATAGAAAAGACTGTTGATACTAAGGCTATTCAATGCTACTAATGGGCCTGTCATGATCCCTTGCTTGTCTGTACTAAAAGTAGAAGATGGTAGTGGAATTCTTAAATTATTAAGGACGACAAACTACAAATGTTTGGGTGTAACATAAGAAAACAAAATACAAATTCTAGAGTTTCAATTCAGCCAATCGTGAGGATTGTAACTACCCTACATTACTTTGCTAGCACAGCCGTAAATAACACAAAGACTATCAATGAGAAGGGAATGTCGCAAGATCTGAATTGAAAACTTAATAACAATTTAAATAATAGTGGAATGACGGTTGGCTGTACTGAATAATTGAAGAGAAGTTGGTTGGGGTGTAAAAAAATAATAATAATTGGGCAACGTTTTTGCCTAAAGTCCAGCCCTGATGAAGGCCTGAACTTTGGGTCGAAAAGTCGGCAAATTTAAAAATAAATATCATTTATTTATTTATTATTATTATTTTGTTTTGATTGAACACCCCAACCAACTTCTCTTCAACAATTTAAATAATTTGAGTTATTGAAAATCTCCAAATGAACTGTATAGTATTCTTGAAATCAATAGTTATATTAAAGGTAAACATTAAGCTGGAGATAATGTTTAAAGGTTATTTATTAGGAGTCTTTCCATTTGTAATTATAATTCATACCACAAGCAACCAACTCAATATCATTTTTTTTTTTCCATCTACTATTTTTTCTCCATCATTCATATAATCTGAGTCATGTTTTTTTTCCCCTGAAAAATAACTATTACTGAAACTAATAAATGATAGTCTTTAATACTTAAAATGATAACAAATTACTTGAAAAGTGAGTTAGTTAAGAGTTCATTTAGACTATGCAATCTGAGTTTTAAGTATTAAAATATTTCAGCCCAAAAGGTAAATAAATTTATAAAAAACAGTGGGGATATTTTTGGAGATTATAAGGATGGATATAAGAGTAAGCTAATTAAGCAATAGTTTACATTTGATTATGATAAATTAAAATGAACAGTTTTCAATACAAAAATTGTACCAATTATTATAATTGTTTTGTATTAGCCTACCTTTATAATTGAAATTAATATTTGAATACAAATATTTGGTGATAAGTATTCCTAGTGCAAAATATCTCAAACATTTAGTGGAGGAAAAAATCTTATAAATGGGGTGAAGGTCTCATTTATTAAGCTTAAGGAAATGCATACTACTGGCTAGTGAAGTACTTTTACAAGTAATAGGTTCTCAAGATTTCTAAACAAAGTTTATTTTTATATAATTCAGAAGCATAAGAGCTAGAGAATTCAGAAGAGAAGCCCTCAAAAATTGTGGAACTATTTATATTTAACACGTGTAGGACTATAGTTTTCATGCACTCTAGTAAAAAAATTATAGTGTAGTTATATGAGTTTTGGAGGGAACTAAAGGTATTCTGAAGCAAACAGCATTACTTTCTGTTTTACATAATAACGTTCCTAAAACACCACCTTTTTCCAACCAACTTGTCCTCATTTCTATAGTTGATATGGCCCCCAATGGCAGTCTTTAATATCTCAAATTAGTTTTAAAGTAAATTCAGTCATTCACAAATTGAAAATATAAAATATCACAAAACCCATGAAAGATGAAAATATCACATGAGCTTATAGACTTATATATAACTTATAGAGTTTATATTACAAACATCTCAGAAATATAATATGATGTGAAATCGTTTCAGAGAGTCCAATCAAAATGGGGCTCAAAATACATCATAAAAAAGCACGGAGGTTAAGATGGTCAGGGCATGTAGCTCGTAGCAATCTGTTTGGAAGCCTCTACGTAACGATGAATACCTCAATAATTGGCAAAATACAACATGGAAGGACAAAAAGCAGATGGATAGATAGAATCAACAAAGATGCATTAGAACTGCATGCAGATAACTGGGAAGAAATAGCCCAAGACAGGCAGAGATGGAGCAGGCTTGTTAAGGCAGCAAAAGATCTAAAACGTCAGTAATGCCAACAGAAAAAAAAGTTTTTGTTTGTCAACCAGAGGAATTTGAAGGACTTTCTACAAAATTGTACAAGTTAGTCAATTATAAAAAATAATAAGGGCCTTCCATTATTTATAAATTATTGTACCTACATTATTACAGTTGCATTTTTTATTTAAATATATACTCATAAGAAATATAAAGTATTCATTTTTATATAGTGTATAATTTTATTAATTTCTGTAGATTTTAAATAAGAAATTTACGCAGCAGATTTATATAATGATAAACATAAACCAAGCTTCAGCAAGTACTAAAAAACTATGAAACATGCAAACATAGAAAGAATTGGCCCATTTCTGAAAAATCAGTACAACAGATTTCTAATTATTTTATAAGCTGGCACATAATCGATAAAAAATAGACTCAAGTTTGAGGGAAGTTTGTTTACTTAAACCTACTTGCAGAAAAACGATACAAAAAAAAAAAATGATACCTGATTTGTGTAATGCCTTAATTGAACATCAAAACTTTAAAGATAGAATATATAAAATATATATGTAAAACAGATTCTGCAAAAAATTTGTTATTTTTACAGCAACAAAAGAAAAAATTTCCACTTAAATTTTCAGTTAGATCATTAAAATAGCATCCCAAGATGTAATTCAATAAAAGTAGAGACAGAAGAAACATTTGGGAAATGTCAAACATTACTACACAACACACAACAATGATAGAATAAAGAACTCCTTTCTTTGAAGCTGAGATATTAAAATTTATTCTTGCAATTGTCAATATTCTAATAGTGGATAATTTGATTTGATCAAATGAGTCATAACTTACTTAAGCTTTCAATAAACTTCATGCTTAAAGATTCTCTATAATAATACAAAGAAAAATATAAACAATTTTACTCAGGCCCAATAAGAAAGGGAGGACAACTGGAGTTGCAGACTTGAGCCTATAAATAAGGTTTTATTACATAAATTCCTGGTCCAGATTTTTTCCTTTCATTCAATACTGAAAAAATACATATTTGAGACCGATCAATTCAAAATCATCATCATCATATTCCCTTACTTTTCACTTTCCCAGTACAGGTATAGGGAACCAAACCCAATGAGGGAAGGAGCAGCCGAAGCCTGGCTCGAGTCTGGTCTACAAGCAATTATTTTTTAATTTATAAATTTACATTCAGATAAAGTATAGATAACATTACATATGTTATATAACAATTATGGAATATATTTTTGTTGCATACCTTATAAAAAGGCTTCAATTGGATTTTAGAGGTAAAATTAACAATTCACAGGGTACTTGGTTTCTCTTTAGGGCACTGATTTTACTTTACAAGGGTAGAAAAAATAAAGAAAAATTTAGATAATAAATAATTTATGTATTTATTTAATCTTTATTTGTTTTTATATAATATTATTGTTAAATAATTTAGGTACTGCATCAGGTATATCTGAATTATAGATAATCAAGAAATTAGTCAGTGAAAAGTAAATTAAGTTACTTATTAATTATTTAAAAGCACCAACGATTTTTTTTTTATCACAGGCTAATTTCCTGAGTCTATAATCAAGAAAAAGAGAATTATAAATAAGAATATAATTAAAAGATCGACAGCTATTTTCAAACAAAGAAAAACAAAAAATGTTTATAGTTTCCTCAGCTTTATTAAGAAAAAAATCTGGTGTGGTGTGTGCCTCACACAACTTTCACTTACTACGCTCTTAGCAGAAAGAAGTATTTTCAGAACAAGGGGAAGTGAAAATTATAAACACTATATTGATTTATATTTCATTGTAGATATTTCTTTGTTTTTTAAGTACCCTTATATATACAAATATTTATATTTATATCACTGTAATCTATACAATTAAACATTACCAACGAAAACATTTATGAAAACCGCATATGTATATGTATATAATAACTGTTACGATCTCCTATTTCTCCTGTAGTTAATTATCAAATTCTTTCATATCTGGAATTTATATTTAACTAATTTTTAATTAGTTAATGTTTAATTAGCTAAACAGTAAATTATTATTAGGGAACGAGTAAAAAGTGAAACCATAAGCTGGAATGGTCAGAGCTATTATATTATTTTACTGTTCCATAACAACCCTACTTTATTTAGCTACAGTTAAGAATGACCCGAGAGTTCAAGATGGCCAACTATAATAAAG